AAAATTAACACATGACTTAAACGCAAAATATATATATATAACGCTGCTCAGAATTCGGTTCCCTGGGAACCGAATTCTGATAGCTAAAATCAACGAGGCCAGCGATTGAGAAGCTTAGAATTCGGTTTTTCGGGAACCGAATTCTAAGCTTGAACAGTAAATGGTGGTAGTTCAGTAAATAATGTCTTCAGGGTTCTATTTTAGTAAAAAAAATTTAAAAAAATAATATATCAGTAAAAAATTCTTTTAAATTCTAACATTGGGTATTGTTTGTCCCTGTGACTTATTTATGGTAATTGCAAAATTTAGTTTTATAGGAAATTGCTTCCTAATAAGTATAAAGAAAAATCTTGTACTTTCTGTTGTCTTATGTTTAATCTTAGGCAAAAAAACTCTCTTTTGAGCATTATGATCTGTTAAGATTTTAACATCCAACATATTCTTAAAGAATTCACGGCATAGTAACCTTGTTACATTACATAAGCTAGTTTTAGGATCTATGTTTCGCAACAACATCAACGACACACCTTTTTTAACCTTTAAATTGTGTGGTGTATGAATTGTCACTATAAAGTAAAATTAGTTTTATGGATAAATTATTGGAAGTGTATACAATAAATAAAGGGAATAGGTTATTTTGGTTTCCACTTTTCTCTTGGATATTTGTATCCTTCAATTATGTTACAATTTATTTTGTTAATGTACTGTTTAAAAGATAAAAAAATTTATTTTAATCAATCCACTCCAAATATAACCGCACATAACCACTCTTTGATAATTCACTCCAAATGTAATTGCACAGTAACTGCTCACTCTTCTTATTATTAAGAATTCATTACACACCATCCCATTTCTCATGCTTCTCTTTTTCTCACTCTTGAACCATTTTCTTCTCCCGCTAATTCTAATCTCACTCTTGAACCATTTTCTTCTCCTGCTAATTCTAAATGACTTTGTTATTTAATTCAACCTTACTTCCTATGCACTACCACCCCTTTTCTCCCTCATTTTTGTTTCCTTTATAAGTTTTAGATCATAAAGTCTCTTTCCTTTGATTCCTAATGAACAAAAACCATATTGACCAGGATTATGGTAACGGCAACTGGGTTATCAATGTGAGTTTTAAGATTTAATTTGTCTTTAATGGTTGGTTTTATTTTTCTTCATAAATTTTCAACTTCTATGTTTTTAATGATTTGTTCTAAAGCTTCATACTTTATTAAAATCTCACTACATTCTTCTCTATAAATTCTTCTTTTCACTATAAAATTCTATTTGCAAGAAGTATAAAGAACGAGCGAAACCTTTTGTTTCATTATCAACACTTCTTTTTTAGAGTAGTTAGAATGATGAGAAGGATGACATTGCATATACTCTTTGATTTGTTGGCTATTAACAAAATGATATAAACAATTAATTCTTTGACGACTTTGAATATATGTTCAACTTTTTTTTTCTTTACATGCTTTCTATTAGTATGAATTAATTGCATGCTTAATTCATTGAAGTTTTCAAAATTCTATGCAAAAGAGATATTTTTTTTTAGTTTCTTGAATATTTAGAAATCTATATTGTATTTTAGCTTAAAATATAGAAGAAAAAAAATTTTAACTAATTTTTCCGGGTAATTCCATATTCATTTATGAGATTTTGTTCTTTATTATTTATTTTTAAATTATTTATTAATTTTTCTTTTGATATAGTTAAATTTAAAGTTTCTAAATTACATTTTTTTTTATTTTTTTTAGGTTCTACAATCATGATTATTTTTATTTTTGTAATGATGAATATATTTATTTTTTAAAAAAATAAATAAATTATTTATGCAATTACATTGATTCTTTCTTTGTCTTTTTAATTATCCCCAAAATGATTGATTTTCTTTACGAAGCTAAAAAAAATACATATTTTTAGAATATTGATTTCATCTCTATTGTGCATCTCTGTGTAAAACATTGAAGAATCTGAAGATTATTAAAACATTTTTAATTTTTAAGAATCTTTGTGTTATGATATTTACTCTCACGTACTATAATTGATTTTTCTTTTACAACTTTTAAGAATCTTTGTAAATAGTTTTAATTTTGTTGTTGTTATTGTTTCAGTTAGAGACATTAATCATTAATATAAATGAGTGTTCATGCTTTGTAAATTATTAGAAAAAGGTAGGCACTTGCTTATACTTGAAGGTGCAAATTAGAGGTTGCAGTTGTTTAAAGCAAATTTGTTAGAGTTTGATTCTATTGCGAGGTGTAGGTAGTTATTATAATGTCAATTAATTCATTTGTTATTTCCCTTCCTTTTTTTTATTTTAATTTTTAATTTTTTCTTTGTGAATAACCATACTTTGATCTTATTTTTTTAAATTCACTTATGATATTTGTCTCATTTATTCATTTTTAGACTATTTAGTTATTTATTGATATAGTTGATTTGTTATTTCTATAGTGGATTTTTTTTAATTAAATCATTTTTTAGGATTTTTCTTTTATTCACAGTTGTTTCGTATTCTAATTTTTTTATTCTTTCTTTATACTTTTTCTATTGGACCACCGAATTAAATGAATGTTTAACTCTTTCTATAATT